GCTGCCCTGGAAGCTTCATCTAAAAGGCCACCGGGAGCACTCAACAGTAACAACGGCCCAAGGAGGTATAGGAGCGCAGAGGAGCTCGAGAGGGAAAACGCTTTATAGAGAGTTACTCTAAGCTGCATCTAAAAAGAAAAACACCTGTGTGGGAGAGAGAAGAGCATCCTGGAGATCTCCTCCTGGCAGAGGGAATGGCACTTGTCAGGACAGGAAACTGGATGTGGTGTAATTGGGACCCACCAGGTATTTGGTTAGAGCCAGAGTATGAAATGAGATGGCACTGGAAGGCTGCAATCCATATGGTAGCGGGCATCTTGGTTCAGCAAAGGGGCTAGGATGTTGCACTGTGGTGGTAGGTGCATAAGCTTCTAAGGAGAGAGGTGACCACAGGTGTTTTTATAAAGGCCATTCTGTCACTGGAAGGTAGACTAAAGTGGTCTATGGCAGGTGAGATGGTTCAACAGATAAAGGCACTCCTTTCACAAGGTTGCTGACTTGAGTTTGATTCCCAGACCACACAATAATGGAGGGAGAGGACTGTGAGGTCCTCTGACCTCCACATGTATACTGTGGCATGCATGTATACATACACATATAATAGAAGTGAAATAAAGATTAATTTTAAAGTAGCTGGGAATAGAGTCAGGGGAACCGGCTAGAAGACATTATGCTATTGTGAGAGAGAGGAACACAGGATGGGTGGTGGCATCAGGAGCGGGAGACAGCCGGAAGCTGGGTGCCGTTTATCTACCGTTCAGTCTGGTACTCGCCATCCTGCTTCATCTGCCACTCCCCTCTGGGAAGTGTGCCATCAGATTCTGTCCCTTCACAGCCTTCACACAAGGGCCTGCAGAGGTCAGACCCACCTAGACCTGCCCCGGCTCTTGCCTTCAGTCATAGTCAAACAGACTATTTCCTTGGTTTTCTCACTCCAGGGATCTCTTCAGTACCTATTCCCTCTATCTGCAGCCTCTTCCCCCAGTGGGTGGCTGGCTCGTTATAATTGGAGATGCAGACTGTGTGTCATCCTTTCCTAGAAGCCATCTGTGATCCCCCCACCATCTATAGAAGGTTATATTATAGCACCCACCACAATCAAAGCTCTACTCAGCTCCTACTTTTTCCTAGCATGTTTCCTTGTCATATGCATCATTAAACTGGAGGACAGGATCCAGATGCTCCACACATAGCTACTGGATGAACGGCCACTTTAAAGGCAAAAGCACGCAGCGTGCTGAGCATTCCTAGTCCAAAAGTTTTTAATCCAAAAATCTGAAACTTTTTTTTAACACTGGCATGACAGCATAAATGGAAAATTCCACACCATGTAACTTCACTTCATGCACCAAATTATTTAAAATAGTATATAAAATTATCTTAAGGCTATGTATATGAAATATAAATGGATTTCGTGTTTGGACTTGGCCCCACCCTTAAGATACCACATTATGTATATGCAAGAATTTTTTAAAAATATCTAAAATCTGAATCATTTCTCAACCCAAGAATTTTATGCAGGGTATCCAACCTGAATTGCTATTACTTCAAACAGTAACATATTTGTACTTCTATACATTCAAGGCATTGGTCTAACTAGAAATAAAGCCTCATATGTTTGATATACATACCATTTTCTCTATTTTATAGACGATGAACCTGGGACACAAAAGTTGGATAACTTGTCCAAGGTCATACAGAACTCAGATTCAAACTTTGGGCTCAAGGGTGTATGCTTTTGGTACATGGGCTATATATCCTCTAAGAACAAACTTTATAAATGGCAAGTCATGTGGTTTGGGATGGGGCTGGAGGGGCCAGGATTCCAACATGGCCTTCTCTGACTTGGGAGCCTGAGCCCTCAACTCGTACACTCCAGGGAAAGTCAAATCACCATCAGAGAGGGCGAGAGGTTGTGGGAGACACCCCAGTCCACAGGGATAGGATTGAGGGACCTATAGAGAGGGTACATGAGTTCAGCTGTGAGCCTACAGCATGCACGGGCACAATCTGTGTGTGTTTCTGCATGTCCCATATTTGGAGCACAATGCACTATTCAGCTGCTGGAGTCCATCTTCTTCCCATTTGCAAAACATAGATTTAAGAGTCGACAGGTCTCTTGTGACGATTCAGCGCCCTAGACCCACAGGCAGAATTCAGCAAACATGAACCATGTTCCTCCTCTTTGCAGTTCAGCTCTTATAAAAAAGACCAAGATTTCTGAGAAAATGGGCCATTAGGTGGAAAGGGAAAAACTCCTTTGGGTCTAATTATATAACCATTCTGAAGTTTAATAAAACATGAATTTGCTTTAAAAAAAAAAACTCTGGACTCATAGTTACTATAATAATTAAATAATGAATTAATAAAACTAGGTTCAGCCAGGTGTGGTGGTGCACGCCTTTAATCCCAGCACTTGGGAGGCAGAGGCAGGCGGATCGAGGCCAGCTGGGACTACAGGGAGACCCTTTCTCAAAAACACCAAAAAAAAAAAAAAAAAACCTAGGTTCAATTTAACTTAAAGTATAATGTTATTTTATGTTGGGTTTTTTTGTTTTGCTTTGATTTTTCCAAACAGGGTCTCTCTGTAGCCCCAGCTGGAGCTCACTGTGTAGATCAGGCTGACCTTGATCTCACAGAGATCTGCCTGCCTGCCCCTGAGTGCTGGGACTAAAGGGGTGTACCACCACACCTGGCTGTTTGACTGTTTTCCCTCCATGGTTTTGTTTATTCTTACTTCTTACAGGATTTATTTAATGTTTGTCTTTGGAAAAATAATGTATTTTAAAAAATAATTTATTTTTTAAAATTTTTATTTGCTTTATGTGTATGAGTGTTTGGCCTACAATTATCACCACATGTATGCAGTGCCTATGGAGGCCAGAAGAGGGCATTGGATACCCTGCAACTGGTTTCCAAAGGTTGTGAGCTGCCACATGAATGCTGGGAACTGAACCTAGGTCCTTCACAAGAGCAACAAGCTCTCTTAATCACCGAGCCATCTTGCCAGCCCCCTCATGTATTTTTTTTTAAATTCATTTTTGGTTTGTACCAGGTGTGGTGGTGCTCACTTTTAGTCCCAGCACTTGGGAGGCAAAGGCAAGCAGAGCTCTGAGTTTGAGGACAGACTGAACTACATAGGGAGTACCAGGCCAGCTGGGGTTCTTATAGGGAGAAAAGCTTTTTGTTTTGCGTCGAAAGAGATGACTTTCATTGCATGACATTTTCATACATATATCGTGTGTGTGTGCGTGTGTGTGTGTGTGTGTGTGTGTGTGTGTGTGTGTGTTTGGGGAACAAACCGAGGGCCTTGTCCACATTAGGCAAGCTCTACCACTGAGCCATACCTCACAGTCCAGTATACTCTGTTCCTATTCACACATCTCCAAGCATGTACTGTAGTGTTAAATTTCCTCATCTATACATCGGGAACACCAGTCCTCCTTTTTATAGGATTTTATGAACATCAAGGAGATCAAGCAGAAGAAATCTCACAAACTAAATGTGGCCCCCACACAATGAAGCCACATTATGATTTTAATGTTTTTATGCAGGAAAAGTATACGGTGACTGAGCTCATGTCTTTCCCACAAGGATAAATTTAATTAGTATTTTCCAAGTTCTGACTCCTCAGGTGGTTCAAGCCACGTCAATGGTTCCCTCTAATACCAAGAGAGGATGATAGGAACAGCTCTCTGGTGTCCCACATGGAGGCATCCTGTCACAGGCGTGAGCTTCACATTCCTACCTAATCCAGCCACAGAGCCATTCTACACTAGGGCCAGTGCCCTACACAGCAAGTTCCAGGCCAGTTGGTCTATATAGTAAGATTCTGTCTCAAAAAAACAAAAACAAAAACAAAAAAAAAAAAGAAAAAGAAATGAAAAAAGAGGCACCAGCATCAACGTTCTTCTGCCCCCTGGCCTTAATACAGACGGGAATGTGGGCAAAGCAGGCCCACACTGAAGTCTTCTTTGATCTGCTACTACAGCAATCAGGAAAAGGGCTTGGTTTTCCCCAGGAAAGCCAGCTTCCAAAACCAAGCAAACCCGGAGCTACTTCTAGTTTCTCTATCCCCAGTGGGCGAGAAGCTGCTCAAAGGAAGCCAACCCAGAGCGAGGCAGAGACAGGGAGACAAACTCATCCTGGGGTGCCCAGGACTTGTCTGGTTCTAGCCAGGAAGTTCCAGACCTCCACCTGGACTTCAGAGTTGGGTAAACAGAGACAGCTGGTCACCCCATGGGAGGACTTCATGGGAACATTTTATTTCAACTCTTGATATCTCTTGATCTTGGAGGTCTGTGGGACATCTCAACAATGAGACCTTGTAAGTAAGTTCTTGCATTCATTTAAGCAACTTTGAGCTGAGGCTCTGATAGTTGCAACCTAAAAAGCTAAGTAACTTTCCCAAAGAACGTGCACACATAAATAAAAGTCACAGTGAAAACGGTAAACTAAATCAAAGTAGGAAATATACTATTTTTAGAATTTAAAAATGAGGAAATGGGATCATACAATTTCTTCTAAGGTCGAGAGTATTTATTTGACAAAGAAGCTTAGAAAAAATATATATATACAAATGGAAAACGGAAAAGAAACAAATGAAAACATTGTTATGGAAGGAAAGCTTCATGGCATGAGAAAGGTCAGATTGCCCCCGGCAAAGGCTCACGAGAACAAACAACGCTGTAGGGGAAGAGGGGCTGACGCCTTTTCCTGAGAGAGGGATCTGCCCTGAAGAGGGAGAAAACAGTTTAGCTACCCAAACAGGCTATGACGAAACTAGACCACTTCCAAAGATGGGGAAGCAGTCACAAGACTTGAACCAGAAATCTGCAGGAGGGTGTGGCTCAGTGGGAAAGAGTTTTTGTAGCATGCGTGAGACCTTGCCTGGTTCCCCTCCCCAGTTCCCCACAAAAACATAAAACACAGCACAATGCTACGTGACCATGTGGGTAACCGAACAGGAAAAGCTAGGGAAACAGGGCTTCATCTGTAACTTAAGACCTGAGAAGTCAGAGAACACAGCAGAGTCAAGGTGAGCTACCCCTAGTGTCAGAGCAACCTGGGATCCTGTGTGGCCTCCTCTGAGAGTGCAGCCGGAAGGGAGAGGGCCAGCGGCTTCTGTGCACAGCTCACTTCTGAATGGCAGACGGGCGGGGAGCCTGGCTCTCCCAACCAGGCCGCGTCTGGGGTACCCTTTGGGCCTCTTTCTGACCTGTGCAAGAACTTTTTCCTCTTCCTTTCCTCTGGTTCATCCTTCGCCCCATCTCCTTCCCACCCCCATTCTCTTCTTTTCTCTCCTCTTCTTCCTCCGTCCCCTCTATCACGTTCTCAAGGCCCTGCACATGTAGGCAGGTGCTCTGCCACTAAGCTGTACTTCTAGCTCTTTCTTTAAAAAAGCATGTCGTTTTATCCCCCATTTTTGAGGTTTCTGACCCTGACGCATAATCTCATACTGCTCTTTCCTGCCTGAGATCATTTTCTTAATGTCTTTTAGTGTATTTGGTAAGTACACATTGCTCTCCTGGGATGCTGTTGTTGTCTTTAGAAATTTTACTCTGGTACTTTTTATTTTTCTATTCTTATAGTTGTTTTGAATGGGAATGAACATACATTTTTCTATTGTTCTTTTTTTTTTTTTTTTGAGATAGGATTTCACTATGTAGCCCCAGCTGCCCTGGAACTTGCTATGTAGACCAGACTGACCTTGAACTCACAAAGATCTACCTGCCTCTGCCTCCTGAGTGCTGGGATTAAAGGTGTGTCCACTGAATCTGGCTTCTTCATTTTTTTTATATAAAATATTTTTTTATTTTATGTGCATGAGTGTTTTTCCTACACATATGTAAGTGCACCATATTCATGCAATGCCAGTGAAGGCAAAAGAAGTTGTTGGAGCCACCACGTGGGTGCTGGTAACTGAACCAGTGTTCTCTGCAAAAACAGCAAGTGCTTTTAACTAAGTCATCTTTCTAACTTTTGTTCATTTTTTTAAAAAAAATGTTATTTATTATTTTTATTTTATGTGTATGAATGCATTGCCTGCATGTATGGGAGTGCACCCGGGTCCTGCAATGCTGGGGAGGTCAGAAGAGGGCTTTGGATTCCCCTGGAACTGGAGTTAAGGACGGTTCGTAGCTGCCATGTGGGTGCTGGGAACTGAACCTGGGTCCTCTGCAAGAGCAGTCAGTGCTCTTAACCACTGAGCCATCTCTCCAGCCCCTCGTCTGTTTATTTTCATCTTTAAAAAGATCTGTTTATTTACTTTTATTGTATGTGTGTGAGTGTATGTATATGCACCATGTGTATAGGTACTCAAGGAGGCCAGAAGAAGGTATCAGATTCCCTGGAAGTGGTGTTACAGGTGTTTGTAAGCCAGCATGTGGCTGATGGGAATGAACTCTGGTCCTCTGGAAGAGAGGTAAGTGTTCTTAACAGCTGAGCCATCTCTCCTGTCCCCTCTATTCTCCTTTTGTTTTTGTTTTGAGAGAGTCTCACTATGTAGCCCTGGCTGTCTTGGAACTTGCTGTGTAGAACAGGCTGGCCTCAAGCTCACAGAGATCTGCTTGCCTCTGCCTCTCAATTGCTAGGGTTAAAGGTGTTTGCCACCATGCCCAGCTACTGTTCATTTTTATATGAATCTAGGTTCACCAAATTTTTCGAAGGAGGCTGAGTTTACAGTGTGGCTGACTTTTGACAACCCCTATGTTGTTCTTGCTTTTACTTTTTGTTCTGTTTTTCAGTGCTAGAACTCAGGCCATTGCTCAGGCTAGACCAGGGTTGTGACACTGAACTGCATCCCCACCCAGACATCATTTCTACTGCAGCAATAAGAACTAAGAAGTCGGCCGGGCGTGGTGGTGCACGCTTTTAATCCCAGCACTTGGAGGCAGAGGCAGGCGGATCTCTGTGAGTTCAAGGCAAGCCTGGTCTACATAGTGAGTTCCAGGACACCTTGGGCTACAGGGAGACCCTGTCTCAAAAAAGACAAAAAACAAAACAAAACAAAACAAAACAAAAAGAACTAAGAAGTCATTCTCACCTCAGAAAAGAAAATAAGAGCTGCCAGGCCCCAGGTAGCCCCAGGTAGCCCCAGGTTGTTGTCTCAGTCTTTTAAAGGATTTTCATTTTGTTTTCTGACACCATCCAGTTCTCAACCTCTTGGTCCTAAATCTCTTAGGAATGTTTTGGGGAAGTGATATGTTTGGCCAGGGTTTTTCTAACACATACACTTTGAAGTCTTCAGGAGACAGGAAGGTGAGGACTTCGAGGGACAAAATGAAAAGTGCTTCTTGGAGTTGCACACTTGAAAAAACAAAACATGCCGGCATTATATTTCCACAAAAGCTTTTCCCCTTAAAAGGTGACAGCCACACAACACAAAGCTGATGTGATTAAAAGCTGTCTGGGGGTAAAACAGATTACACCCCAAGTTTAAATCACAAAGATCATGATCCAGGACACCTTGGGCTACAGGGAGACCCTGTCTCAAAAAAGACAAAAAACAAAACAAAACAAAACAAAACAAAAAGAACTAAGAAGTCATTCTCACCTCAGAAAAGAAAATAAGAGCTGCCAGGCCCCAGGTAGCCCCAGGTAGCCCCAGGTTGTTGTCTCAGTCTTTTAAAGGATTTTCATTTTGTTTTCTGACACCATCCAGTTCTCAACCTCTTGGTCCTAAATCTCTTAGGAATGTTTTGGGGAAGTGATATGTTTGGCCAGGGTTTTTCTAACACATACACTTTGAAGTCTTCAGGAGACAGGAAGGTGAGGACTTCGAGGGACAAAATGAAAAGTGCTACTTGGAGTTGCACACTTGAAAAAACAAAACATGCCGGCATTATATTTCCACAAAAGCTTTTCCCCTTAAAAGGTGACAGCCACACAACACAAAGCTGATGTGATTAAAAGCTGTCTGGGGGTAAAACAGATTACACCCCAAGTTTAAATCACAAAGATCATGAGTGTGTGATTAGATTTTACACTGCTTTGAAATTGGAGAGTACTTTTAATGGTTTGCTCCTGAATTCACTAGCAATTTGGGAAGACCCCATCTACAAACAGGATATCCTTTCTTTCTGAACCAGGACGCTCCCAACAGCCCAAGAAAGGAAGAAGGCAGAATTCTGGGAAGTATACTATTATCCTGAAGTGTGTCCTGTGCAGTAGGAGAGGACAGGCCACTGGCAGGGGCTGTGCTAGTCTTCCTTCCCAGGGAGATGCTTAGCAGAGAAGCTCTCTTCCCCAGCTCCTGAAGAGAAACATGACTGATGCCATAGCTAAAGGGCGTTCAGGACCACAGGCTCCCAAGCTCTGCCTCCTGCTGTGCGATGGATGCTACATGAGAGGTCTTTATGTTCTGGGCATTGTGTCTTTTCCAAAGAAAGGCTCATGTAGGAACAAGTGGGGTCTTTCTCCCTTGGCCCTACATTTTGTAGCTGGAGATGTTTGAGTTTCTAAATCTTGCAAGAGGTCCTGCTGTGTCTGTTAGGGGAGAGGGGCACCAAGGCCATACCACAAATCTAAAGCAAAAAGTTTGCTTTCCCAGATCAAGCTAGTTCTTTTGTTTTAAAGACAAGAGTCTTGCCCAAAGTGGCCCCAAATTCCTGGGCTCAAAGGATCCTCCTGCTCCAGCCTCACAAGTGCTGGGATGGCAGGTGTGTGTCACCACATCTGGCTGTATCTGTCGTTCTTTTTCTCACATCTAGTCTAGTGGCTGGCAGGAGAGAAAGGAAGCTAGAGGGAAAGGAGACTCTTGGGTCCTTGATTTTCTTATACTGATTTGACATGGGTCTACCTGATCACCCTTTGTAGAAGTAGTCAGAGATATTTAACACAAACCAAACCGTAAACTCCTGTCTGCCTGCTTGCCTGCCTTCCTCTCTGTCCCTCCTCCCTTTTTATCTCCCTTGCTTCCTTGTTTCTGAGACTGGGTCCTGAGGTAGAACCTAGGCCGTTCTTGAACTTATAATCCTCTTGCTCGGCTTCTGAGTGTTGGGATTATAGGTGTATACTATCACCCCTGGCATTGCCTCTATTTTTTAAAAAAGTGACAGCCAGAGTTTTACTGAGTTATATAATGCTCTCATCTGGTACAGTACAGGAGGCAGCACATGGCTAGAACCCAACTCTCATGAATTTTAAGGAAATACTGGAAATAGAAAAGAAATAAATATTTAAATAGGAAAATCAGCCTCGAAGCACCTAATGTTCCCAAATTACATCTAATAATAGAAACAGACCAAGGGTGAACTGACGATGGTCACAGGGGAAGAGAAGGGAAAGAGAAGATGTGTTGTACTGGAGCTAGGGAGTTTGACAGGCCAGTCACCCTGGGATCAAGAGACCAACCTCCCTGGTATTTTCCAGAATCTGGGCATGTTTATTGCCCAGCAAGCCCTGCCCTGCCACCCCAGAGCACTTACCAGCATTCTCAACTTGGCATTTTCCCAGCGGCAAAACAATGATTGCTTTTCTTTCATGCTGTCTAGTTCATTACAGATCCATTTTGTCTTTTTCATTGAGTCCAAAGCACACTGTTGCCTTCCAAAGAAGAGCTGTTGTGGTGTGTGTGTGTGTGTGTGTGTGTGTGTGTGTGTCTGTGTTTTAGAAAAATAATCCAGGGCAAGTGGGATGGCTCAGAGAGGTAAGATGCTTGCTGTCAGCCCTAACGACCCAGGTTTGAGCCCCAGGACCCACATGGTAGAAGGAGAGAACTGACCCCCATGAATTGTCCTCCTGTTCCTGAACTTGGGGTCATAGTAGGTACCCTAAGAAGCCACATCTAATGATGAACTCTAGTTTTTCTTCCTGATGTGACCACATTGAATAAATCTTATTTTTCTGCTTTTTAGTACTAATTTGGCTGTTTTAGTTTCTTGAGGATGAGTGATCAAACTTGGGTTCTTGAGGTACTGACTGTGAGGTCAAATTCAGTAGCACTCCTACATGCTAGTGTCATGCCCCTCAAAATAAATAAAACCGTGATTTTAAAATGTAATAATTTATCTAGTTAATTATTAAAGGGAAAAATATTTTGATGAGAAAGGCATTTGTCTTAGAATCTCACTATTTGTAAGACAGAAAATTTGTTTATATAAAAAAGAAAAGTACATACATATAATGATACATGCACAAGTCCAGGTATCTCTCAGTCCCCGGGTCTTTGGGAGTCTACTATGGCCCCTTAGTAAAGCCTCATGCTTTACCATTCACTCACTGACTTGCTCACTCATTCGTTCACCTAATATGAACTTATCAAGCATTTACTAATTGCTCTGAGCAGTGAGGATCTATTGTCAACAAGACAGAAAATGGCCTCAACTTTATGGAGCTCCCACAGAAGAGGCCAGCAACAAATCCATGCTAATGAGTAAATAAGATCATTCTAGGCAGTGACTCTTTGCAGGGAAAACAGGGCAGTGTGCTGACACACAGCTGTGTGTGAGGGAGGAGAAGGGGGCTGGTCAGACTAGTTGCCCTCTGAGAGCCGAATTCTGGCAGGTAAGAAGGAACCTGGAAGGCTCTTGGGGAAGGCAGGAGGATGGCCCAGGCAAAGATCTTGGGCAAAAGGGAAATCTGATAAATCTGTGGAGAAGAAAGGGCACCAGAGTGAGGTCTGTGGTAAAGACTGCCTGAGAGGATGGGTGTGACAGGGCAGGAGAGGATGGGTGTGACAGGGCAGGACAAGATGCATGGTGATGCCATAGGAAGGAATTGTGTGTAGAGCTAGAACCCAGGGGTAAGCCCAGGAAGAACAAACCATGCAGTTAGAAAGGACTGGGGTGAGGACTCTACACTTCAGTCTGCACCTTGTGCTTTCCAATTAAAACAACAACAACAACAGTAACAACAACAAAATGTCAGGTTTTTCAAAGGCTCTTTCAAACACAGTCATCTCTCAGCATCTCTAGGGGATTGGTTCCAGGGCCACCTTTGAGTGAGAAAAACCTGCAGGTGCTCAATTCCCTTTTATCAAATGGTGTAACATTTGCATATAATCTATGCATTGCCTCTCATATATTTAAATCTTCTCTGCATGACTTAGAACACTTAATACAATGTAAACATCATGTAATAATTGTCATATTGCATTGTTTAAGGAATCATAACAAGAAAGTCTGCATTTATTCAATAGAGACACAATTTTTTTTTCCACAAATATTCTCTATCCAAGATGGGCAGAACCCTTAGATGTGGAACCTGTGGATAAGGAGGCCTGCACATTCTCTTGGCATGAAACATGGAGTCTCACATACCTGGAATCCTGTTGAGTGTCACCCAGAAATGTTCATCAGGACTGAAAGTGTCTTTGGACCACTGGAGCAAATCAACAGCCCGTGGGTCATGGAGGACAAAGCTGGCGAATTCTCGAGATAGAGCAACATAGGCTGAGCCAAAGTAAATGGTGAGGTTGTGGGGAGGTGGGGGCTTCAGTGCTGCAGTTCTGATCACATAGGAAAGTTCTTTGCTCAGATGCTCCCGGTGGACATACTTGGTCCGTCCAATTGCATGAGCTGGAGGCAGCACCCCTGGGGTGAGATTCTTCCCTTTAAGACCTTTCAGATACTGAACTATTTCCTTATTGGTTTTCAGGGGGAAGTCTTGCCCACAGGTGTTGATGGCATACTTCCATGGGACCTCTGAGGCAGCCAGATCTTTGATGCAGTTCAGGTCAGCCTGGAGTCGGGAGATGCCACCATAGACCACTGGCTCCATCTTAGAAGCCAGAAAGGCGTTGGGGAAACAGCTCAGTAACTGTTCAACCGCACTTTTGAATTCAACTGTTGCCTTTTCATCCACATGAACACAATAGACGTTCTGGGGCATGAAGATAGCCCTGAAGAGTCTTGCAAAGGTGTCAAAATTGTGATGGATGACCATGATATAAGCCAAAGGAAACTCAACCTCTTCCTGAGATAAAGGGGCTGTGATGTAGTGGCCTTGGGTCAGGTATTCCTTGCAAGAAGACTTTTCATAGATTATCAGTTTGTTTCTCCACAGGAAAGGAGTCTTCCCATTGATAAAGGATGTGCACACTTGAGTCAGCATCAAAGTGTCTGAGATGTTTAGCTTCTGGTAGCTTTGATCTCCCCCAAAACTCAACACATAGAGCACTATAAAAACGGTAACAGTAGACACCGAGACTATAAAGAGGTACCGCATGGATGAAGGCATGCCTCAAAGAGGGGGGCAGATGTCAGTCTTTGAAGCTCAGTAAATCCCTTCCCAGACTTACTTTTTCTGTGTGCTCTTATTGTGGTACATGCTCCAGTGACTGTGAATTCGGTCAGTTTCATCCCGCGAGTCCAGCTGCTAGCTGGCTCTCTCCCCAAGCTGAAATTAGAATCCGATCCCGCCTCTCTCAAGTCTCCTTTGTCTAAACGCCAGCAGCAGGTTGCCTAAGCCCAGCCTTGCTTGCCCTCCTCCTCCCTGGCCTCTGGGTTTGCATCTGCTGAGCATTTCGCTCAGGCGCTGCTCAACGTTTTTTCACGGAGTTTCTCGCATCTCCTTTCTTTCCTTTTTCCTGGGTTTCTTCCAGCTCCTCCTCTAGTTCAAGGAATTAGCACAGCCAAAAGCAAAGTTGATGGGATGAGCCGGGGCAGGCAAGCGGCTTCCTGCCCATCCTCTAGTAGGCTGCCTCTCTCGCCCGCTCTGTTGTCTCCCGGCTGTGCCAGGCTAACCCACGGGATCTAATATAGCCTGTTCCGCAAGACGCTGTTTCACGCGACTCAAATGACACAATCTGAAATATAAGCAAACCTCCTCCATCCCAGCTCCATTGTAATGTTTCTGGCCCCACCCTGCCAGTTTCCAAAACAGGAGCTCCCAGGAGGCGGAGTTCCGGTCCTAGGGGATCTGACACCGCAGGGGTAGGGGGGTGTGACTCTAAAGCGAAGTCCTTTTCTCTCGCTCATAGCCTCTGCTGAGGTGTTAGAGGATGTTGGGATCCAATGAGCAGGTGTTGAACTGCTTCCTCTAATGTGAATGAGGCTTCCCAGAAAGAAGCTTGAATCGAGGCCACGAACCGTGTTCAGATAGAGGCTCTAAAGGGCATTAAGGAGTTAATCCACCCAGAGACCATGGCCAAATGCTCATCTATAATCTTCCACTTTTCCATGACTTCTGTTCTATTTGGTTTTTGTTTTTTTGAAACAGAATCTCAAATAGTGCAGGCTGGCCTCGAATTCATTAGCGGAAGCTGGCCTTGAATGCCTGATCCTCTTTCCTCTACCTCCCAAGTGCTGCTATTACAGGCATGTATCCCCACAGCTGGCTTTCCATGACTTATTTTACATGAAAAGTAGATGGATGTAGATTTAGCAGTCTCTTGACTGCTAGACTACCTTTCTATTTTCTTAGACTTTGCACTTAACAAGTCAGAGTCAGTACCCTGCGGTATTAAGTCACTGTAGAAACTAAGAATCCCTTCTGGGCACATCCTGTCTTCCTTTTGGAAAGTCTCTACTAGAACAGGACAGTATGCTTTGTGGTAGGAACCTAGACCTGTGGTGTACAACCAGATCTCACTGGCGTTTCAATTTTCTAGTTTTCATTATTTACATATTTTGTTTTTTCCGCTTATATATTTTTTCTTTTTAAAAAAATTTAATTTATTGTTTTTATTTTATGTGTATATGTGTATTGCCTGCATGTAGGTAAGTGCACCTGTATCGTGCAATGCCCATGGAAGACAAAAGAGGCTCCAGGAACTGGAGTTGTGGACAGTTGGTAGCTGTCAGGTGGGTGCTAGGATTCGAACCTGGGTCTTCTGCAAGAACAGCTAGTGTTCTTAACCTCGGAGCCATCTCTCCAGCTCCATATATATATTATTTTTCTTACTAAACTCTTCCTGTACCCACATCAAGTAAATTCACTGTGTGACGCACGCCTGGATCTTTAGGCCAAGTAGTAGATGATGTGGCCATTTCATGGATAAAGCAACTTGCTCTCCTTCTGAACGGCTTCTGTGGTTCAGAACAAAGGAGAATTCAATCTCAAGCTTCTCTTTCTTCCAACTAACATTGTTAAATATTAGATTATTATGTCTGCTATTTCTAAACAACAGAGTCATTTCAGTATTGGTAATTTCATTTTGGCAAAGCCTTGTGGCTTAGAATGAATACTGAAATATTTACAGCTTGACAAAGCATTCAGTATACAGATACATAACTTAATTAGGGCAACAGAATCTGTTTATATTACCCTTTCCAACTGTCCAATGACATGGAAGTTCAGATTTATACAGGCTGTGGGCATAAACATTAATAATGTTACTATATTAAGAAGTACAGACACTGACCAAAATAGGAACTTTTACAGTACTTCTGAATTCAACTCAGTACTTTCATGGTACTGTTTACATGTTGAAAAATATAGCTATTTTCCCCCTTTTGCCTGTCCTTGGACCATGTTCCCCAACCCTCAGATCCTGGTATTAAAAGGTCCCTACAGGAGAACATTTTACAAAGCTTGTTATCATGAGAGTGTCTGTCTTTTGTTAACTCTCCTCCTGGCCACACCACTGTCCAGTCTGCTTATCCACAATGGAGTTGGTTTTTAGAGTAGCAAGGAAGGCCTATTAAGAAAAAATTCCTAGGCTAGGCTTGACAATGCATCCTTTAATCCCAGCACTAGAGCCAGAGGCAGGCAAATCTCTGTGAGTTTAAGGTCAGCCTAGTCTTCTTAGCAAGTTCCAGGCCAGCTAGGGCTATACAGTGAGACCCGATCTAAAAACCATCCTACCAACCAACCAACCAACCAACCAACCAACCAAACTCCTTAAGGCCAAGAGAATAGAGTTTCATGGTGTCCTAACGTTCCAGCTGGGCCAGGTCAATCACCTGACCAAGGGCACACCCCTAGGAAGGCAGTTCTACCTTAAGCCATGCTAAAGAGATAGGCAGAATAGCCAGTGCTTTAATGAGACTGCATTTTCCTTCCCAGTATCTCCACCCCTAGTGCAGTAGCTTATGAGGCCACAGCCAGGCAGCGTTGTAAATCTGATTTTCCAAATTACTCAAAAAAGCATAGCTTTTCCTTTCCTTTCTATTTCTGCTCTAAGCATGCTTTCCTTAACATGGACTTCCCCAACATTTTGGCTTCCTTACTCTTTCTCCAAATGTCCCTCCCCATCATCCTGTGGCAGCTTTTCTGACTGGCGTCTGACCTCCAAGCCAGCTTAAACAGCATGGCTTTTTTTCTTCTCGCCTCCGCTCTCCTCCTCTGGGAAGCTGCTGAGGTTTACAACTTGCCTGCCCTGGCCTTTTTTTTTTTTTTTTTTTTTTTTCTTTTAAATGCTAATGAAATTGTCCACAAGCTTCCATCTGAGTCCATTCTTAAATTCTTTTATTGAGTAATGAGACTAAGCACCCCAAGAGGAGACCCGAATTTCCCTTGTATCACGGTGAGGTTTTGGCTATTGAGACTGGTTATCCCAGCCTTCCCTACCTGCCTTTTTCAGCATCAAGGATAAACTTGACGCTTGCAGGCTTAGCAACGATGCCCTTGGCCCTCACTTTGGAAGCAATTATTCCTGAACTACTAGCCAATTAAGCAGGCTAGACATGTCTACCCTTCCCTGGGGCCATCTTAAAGGTTTTCTTCCTATTACATTCAGAAGCCTTTGTTTTGTGCACAATATTCAAGGCATCTTTTTCTCCAGATATGTGGCTATATAGAACACAGTTCCAAAATATAGAGATGATTCTTTATTTGAAATAATAGAAGATTATAATCTCAGAAAAATAATTAAGTTGGGCTTGGTGGGACAGGCCAGTTATCCCAGCGCTTTGGAGACTAAGGTAGGAAGATCAATTACAAATTCAAAGCCTCCTGGGCTATAGAACAAATTCTAGGGTAGCCTGGACAACTTAATGAGACCCTGTCTCAAAAATTAAAAAATGGGGCTAGAGATATAACTCAGTGGTAGAGTACTGGTCTGGCACACATGATGCGTGAGGCCCCAGGTTCAATCCGCAGCACTGCAAAACAATAAGAATAAAAATAAGAGAAAGACGAGAAAAACAATCAAAGGATAGAGGCATGAAACTTCTGAGAGCTGCTGGTTCCCCAATCAACTATAAGAGAGGCAGGAACGATCTGTGTACTGCACAGAAATAAAACAAACAGTTCGGGCTTAGCCTCATTGCCGAGAAGCGCACAAAAGACGGAGTGCAGGAACTCCTCCAGACAAGACCCGGCAACTTGGCGGAAGGTTTCGGGACAGGCTTCCTCATGGGCCTTTCCTCAGAGCTGCGTGTACTGACGCTTCGTTACGCTTTCAGAATTGTTCTGGACTTGTTTTTTCATTCCCAATTAATCATTCTTCACTCGGGGAAGAACTCAAGAGGGCACAGTTCACACAGAAACACCTGATTAGTAAAGTTAAATAATAGTGAAAGGGTACAGGAAACCTGGCTGGGAGAGGATTGGCTGGGATAAAACCTGTCAAAGTTGCGTTGAAGAGTCAAGTTATCCTGGTAGAAAAGGCCAGCAAAATGAGAACAGCTGGTATTGGTTCCTGGGCTCCTCTTTGGAAGGGCTTTCCTATGGAGTTTGCTTTAGAGGTTTTGTTTTATTGTTTTGTTTTTGTGGCACTGTCTTTCTCAGTAGCCCAGACCAGCCTGAAACTCTCCCTCCTGCTTAGCCTCCTGAGTGTGGGATTACAGGCATGAGTCTCCATGCCTGGCTATGCAGTTTGCTTTGTTATGGAAGAAAGCAAATGACTCAGGGATTCCTCCTCAATTACAAAACATGGATTTGTTTTTCCCCTTCGAATTAAGTAATAGATGAGAACGTAGAGAACATTGACATTCCAGTTTATTCTGTATGACCAGTTATGCAACTCCATCCTAGTTCACCTGATGTTTTATAAATGGTACCTTTATTTTATTTTTAAATGAAGAGGAACATGATGCCAAGGTGAAGAAGAAAAAGGTATTTCCAAAGCTCATCTTTAATTAAACAACAATTCTTCCGCAACTCAGAAGTCCCCTGATGGGGTTCTCTAGGGAAAACCTTCCTCTTGGGTCCAATCATCTGCCTTTCTAACCCTTTTAACTAATTAACAACAGAACAAGTTGTTATCTGGATTGCAGAACCCAAAGCATTATTTTAAATTCTCGTCTCTGTGGGAGTGGGAGGGATCGCTACCATGTAGAATCTTATTTTATTTTATTTTTTATTTTAGTGTGAGGGAGAGCATATGTAGAGGTCAGAGGACAGTGGGGATCAAATTCAAGCTTGGCAACAGGCACCTCTACCCACTGAGCTATCTACTGTAACATGCAGAATTTTTAAAGATCCCAGTGATGAGGTCAGTGGGTCACTTGAAGCCGCGTTATCACACATGAGCTAGATGGAGCTGCACCTCATTTTGATGCAGCATCTGATGCTGGATGATTTTAAATAAATACAAAACATGGTTCACAAAGCATCCAAATAGGCACAGGTTAAAGCACACAGCAACAGCTTTATTGCAACAGCGTATTTAGTCATTAGAAGCAGGACGCTCCTGGCATTAGGGGAGCTTAGAGAATGAAAAGGAGGCTTGCCCGGTATAGGTCGTTGCCAATTCACATTTCTTTTTCTATTTAAATTTTTTTTTTTTTTTTTGTGAGACAGGGTGTCAGTCTGTAAACCTGGGTTGGCTGACCTGGGCTCAACTGGTCTTGAACTTGTGCAAGGCTCCTGTCTCAACCTCTCAGGACTGGGGTTATAGATGTGCAATACCACTGGCTCAATTCACATTTCAAGGTGCAAGTTA